TGTGTAAACTGCTGCTAAAATGTTTCCCTGGTGAGAAATGCCAACTTGTGAACTAATATCCTTGTCACCTCCTGATCATTTTTCATTCAAGGTACAACGGTCTGCCACTCGCCACAGGGGTCGCTGTGGTGTTTCCGTTTCTCTATCTCCAATGAAGGAAGATGCTGAAGGGCTTTAGAACCTGGGCATCCCCTTAAGCTCAAGAGAAATCTTCATGATTTACAAGGTGACTTGGTTACTGTCCTGGACATTTCTCAACTGCAATCAAAATGCCAAGCCAGGATCATCAGATGGCTCACATGGAACCAAGGGAGCAAATGACTTCCTTGCACGTCCTCCTTCCTAAGTGGAAAAAAGGTAACTCAAGCATGGAGCCTACGAAGGGCCATCTAATTCAATATCTATGTAATAGGAACAGTATTTCCACTCCCTGGAAATGTTGTTTCATGCAATTAATCGATGCCATATTATCCAGCATATCAAAGGCAAATAGCCTAAAGTCAATGATCAGCTAGTCCCCCATGAAGCCAGAACCAGCCCTTGTCCAAAAAGAGGCACATCCAAATTCTAAGGTCTCCTTTCAACACTTAAAGGGAACACATGGAAAAGCTGGGCTTGGAGAGAGGGACTTCTCCACACCTGGGCAGCCCCAGTGCGGCTTTGGTTTAGAATCTCGCACCTCTGCCCGTCAGGACAACACTGCTGCTCTTCACTGTGAATTCCGGTCAGAGCCTCTGTCTCTGTGTCTCGTAGAAAAGCAAAATTTGATTTAACCAAATGGTATCTTCCCATCAAACCAGGTTTGTGTCTTGTTAATGGAGAAGGTGCACACAGCACCACACATGGAAGCGATGAAAACCTGGAACCGTTTCTATGATTCTCTCCGGGGATCGTGAGCAAGGTCAGCTCCACATCCAGGAGGTAGGCCGGGTGCTGGGATGTGGCCAGGAGGCATCTTGGGTACATGGCAGAGGGGGTTCTGAGGTGGGAGCCTCGAGAGTTCTGTCATCTCCCGAAGCCCCACGGAGGGGACACTCCTGTTCCCAGGTGCCAGCAGCCTGTCTGGGGGAGCCATACCGCTTCCCAGGCCTCCGACATCTGGGCACAAAGGGAGCGAACTGGCTGACCTTTAAGTGTGCGGTGAAGCTGTCCAGAATCCCTGGGACAGAAACGGATTTCTGAACTCACTGGCTTTGAAGACTCCATCTGCCACCTGTCCTGGTAAGGTCAGGCATGCTGGATGCAGCCCTGAGCCGTTGCCAGGTCTCTGCAGGCTCGGGGTTCAGTCCTAACCTGGTCCCTCGGCTCCCAGCAGTGAAGAGCTTCTGCCAGGCCAGCCTCCCTTCACACCAAATTCCAACTACCGCACATTCTCTTTCTCCTTTCTCTCTGTCAAACACATGCTTACACACACACACACACACACACACACACACACACTCTGATGTATGTGTATGAGAACTGGGACTTCACTACTGTTTTTGTTTTAAAGCAAACATTTAAAGGAAGAGGGTGTAATAGCAACGTTTCTTGAAGGCCAAGGAAGAAAGGAGAAGAACTTATACACGTGTCTATACCCAGCAATGTTGCAAATGACACCTTCCCCCAATCTGAGGTGACGGCTCATGGGGTGCAGGGGACGGAGTTGCCCAACCTTCCTGTGATCCTCCATGACACACATTAGGGGTGACATGTCTTCGTGTGACAGTCACATGAGGACACAGTGTGAAGAGCGGCTACAGTGTATGGATAGATAATGAAAGGGCACAGTCCTCCCATGGCCACGTCCAAGTCCCAGCTTGGCGGGCAGAGCCCACCCAGCACAATTATAGCCAACAGCTAGAGCTGTAAGCTTGAACATATGGTCCGAACACATGGCCCCATGTTTCTGAGTGATGTGAGCTTGATAGAGTGCAGGTGCATGTAATTGAGTAGGATTGAAACGTACAAGAATGTTGTAAACATCTTGACCATGCTCTTACTCTGCCTCGTGGAATCTGGCTATAAAATAAAGACATGGCTTGTAGTCCATGGTGCTGTCGCTAGCTCTCCATCAGAGAGGACAGCGTTCCACCCAGACTCAACTTTCTTCTCTTGTCTGTCTTTTCTCAAACCTTCACGGCCCCTCTCAGGGTCATCAAACCTAGCAAGCACATAAGGTGCCCAACATGGGGCTGAGTATGCCAGGGCTGTGCTGGCTTGCCACACACACACACACACACACACACACACACACACACACGGCAGTCACTCGGAGTGTGGGACACAATGATATCTGAGGACTTTACTGAGCATGTATTATGTGCCAGCCGTGGTGCTTCACACATATTAGGTGCTTTAATCCTCACCACCATCCTATGAGATAGGCACTGTGACGGCCACTTTACAGATGAGGGAACTCAGAAAGAGAAAAACAACTTGAGAGTGGCAGCCCACAGACTTGAATCTAGGTCCATCCAACTCCAAAGTGAGGGCTTCCCACTGCCTGCCCATGGCCTCCTTCATCCTCACGGCTGTTAGCAACGGGCAGCGACCTCCCCAATACCGCTCTTCATCTCCTCTGGTACCAGTGCCCCAATTCTGCTCATTTATTTATAAAGGGAAAAGTACTGCCTCCCTTCTGAGGATGGATCTGGAGTTCTGGGCATGAACTTCAAAGAGACAGGAAGCCACAGGGCAGGGCCAGCCTCTCTGGACCTGTCCTTCATTGGAGGGGCCCAGGTGTTTCACGTCTTAAGTTCTCAACTGCAACAGTTGAGAACGGCCATTGTATTAGCTGAAGTTATTCTAGCTGCTGGAACCATTGATTTCCAAGATTCAGTGGTTTAACCCCAAGACATTTATTTCTCACTTACATAACCAGCAAACACAGATCTGCACAAAGCCAGGCACTGAGGGTTTGGGGAGCGTCCCCCAGGTGGCCAGAGTCATGCAGCATCTCTTCCTTGGCCGAGTAGGAAGCCTCCGAGGTCCGCTGTCTGCATGTGGCATTCAGGATTATTTCCTAGCAAAGTCCCTGTCTTGTACACTGGATCAGGGCTCATGTCTCAGCCCCCACACCACACCCCTCATCCTTATCCTTTCCCATGTCCTGTGTCTTGAGAAGCAGAGAGCTCTGACACTTTGACACACCAGGTTACAAATAAGCACTGAAGTCAGCAGTGACTTACAAGGGTGTAAACGTCTATTGTGGCTGCTCTAACGGCCACCACTAGCGCCAGGCGTGGGCGATTTAATGAGCCCCCAGAGGAAGCCTCTGAGACTTGCACCAAGAGCAACAAGAGTGAGGTGCAGGCTGGTCAGCACTGCCCTCCAGCTACTTCTCCAGCTTCATGGGGCCTAAATTTGACTCCCTTAGGGATTAATTTCAAGCCCAGGAATTTAATTTCAATGGCCCAGGGACAGAGGTCCTCAGGGACCTGCAAATTGGGGGCCCAAGGCTCCTTCTGGTACCCTGAAGCTTAGAATCAATTCACAAATCCTGTCCTGCTCTTCTCCCTCCGGCACCATGTCCAACAAAGGGAGACAGTCCCTTTGTCCCCAGGCCAGGTGGAGGCTGCTCTGCCTCTGCAGGTTTACTTCAACCAGGCCAACCTGGCTGTCAACAACAGCAGAGCCCACACCGAGGGAGGCCTCCCTGGATGGCTCTGCAGGGGGCAGAACTGTCTGCGCTGGGAGAGTCAGAGAGAAGTTCTCTGCCCCAAACCCAGGGCCCCTCGTGTCCCCATTCCAAAGGGCTCAGTTCTCTTTACTTACCAGGAGAAGGAGGAAGAAATGCTTCCTGGACAATCACATCTAAGCTGGACAAACACTTTCCTGCTTCATGGTTGGTGGCACTGGATCATGAATGCCCCTTTAGTGACGCGTGTACACATCATATTCTGTCTCTTAAGGTATGTAAGCTCTTCAAGGGGAGGAATGGATAGTTTCTTATTCACATCTATTATCCCTACCTCATATGGCACTTGACTCTCAGAAATGTTGAGAATAGTGAATACAATTTATTTCTGAGAGAACGGGTTAGTAAATAAATAAGAGAGTGAGTCAATGAGAGATGAATGGGAGAATAAATGAGAAGGAAATGATGGGGGAGTGAGAAAATAAATGAGGGTATGAGAGGCAGAATGGTGGCCCATTGCTTCTAGGTACCCACTGGCCTCTTTTTCTTGCACACAAAACCCTTGCTTTCAGTTGGGCACATTTCCACCCAACAAAAAAGAACATATTTCCCACATATGTCCATGATTAAGTTCTGTAACTAAGTTATTGTAAGTACCAGTGTTGCATGACATATCAAGGAAAATCCTTGGAAAAGGAATGTGCCTGTTTTTGGGGATCTTTCTATGGTCTATAAGATATGTGATGATTAGAGCTTAGCAATCATATTGTGCATTGAGGTGACCTTAAAAAAAAAAAAGCCACTCTAGGTCAGTGAGGTAGAAAGATAGAAATCTAATGGGTCTCAGAACCCCTATAACACCCAGACTGCCCACCTCTGGACCTTACTTATGTTCCTTTCACTTGCTGTTTTGTGGTTAGTTTTTATTATTATTATTTTTTTATCATACGTAGTTGAATCTGATACTGACCAACTTGTCTAGAATCACAAATTCATGCTACAGTAGGTCCCAGTACCCAGGCCTCCTCCCTCCCCGTCTCAAGTACTTTCTGACACCAGGCCTATATCACTATAGGATTGCCTAAAAACGCCACCGTCACCCAGATCTTGCAGATGTCCTTCAAATGTCAACCCAAAGCCATAACACAGATTCAGAGAATCTTGACCTTTAAAAAAACACACAACAACAAAAAACAACAATCAAAGTGAGGGATGATTCCTGACCTTTGCTCAAAACCCCAGGCTGGTAGAAACACAGACTCAACCTCAGACAGAATGCAATTCCTAACAGCCCGGGAAATGTACACTCACATTTTCAGTGGCTCCTTCATTTCAACAATCAAGCGTTTATTCTTCCATAAAGTGGAGCATCGGGTCTTACCTCCACCAGGGAATGCCAGTGTGCAATGGGCTTCCGAGGGTATGACAGCATTTCACTCCAGTGGTCTCTGCCCAGCCTCTCGGCTGTGTTGCCTACTTGACACACGCCGATGATCTCATTGTGACCTATACTGTGAAAACAGCCCACAATAGATTTTCCTTAAAAATTTGGTATGGAAGAATAATAGCTACTCAAGTAAACCAATAAGGGAATCAGGGAGGAGTGGTTCTTTCATTGCCCAATTTAAAATTCAATGCCAAGTTTAACAGAGAACAGGGATTGGGATCGGTCATCATACTCAGTGGCACAGAGAGGAAGAGCAGTCTGGCCCTCCCACACCCAGGCTTTTGTAGCATGAACGTGTTATGTGGCATGGCTTAGTCTGTTTCCAAGAACCGTACGTTTGAGGAGTTCCCTGAGGCACGCTAAGGATGCCACCCCTGCCTGCTTTTAGGTTGAACTCTAGGCCTCCAAATCTATGTCATAAAGAGGCCACTTGAATGGAGTTTCTTGCAATAACAGCTGCTCAAATTCCCGAAAAGAGGCAGCCAAGTGGCGATAAGAGGGCAGCTGTGTGTGTGGCAGCCATGGTCTTGAGCTCACAGAGAGGGCAGAGTTGAGGAGGCTCCTGGGTCTCTCTGCTTTCCTCTCTTTAGAGAACTCATTTTCTCATGCTCTTTCCTCCTTCCTTCTGAACCCAGCACTGCTTCTTTGACCCGATTTGATTTCCCTATTGTAAAAAGATCCTTAGCTCTTTTAACTTTAAGGGCTAATATTTCTGAAACATTCCCTGCATGAGTCCCTGCCTTCCCCTCTCCCCTCCCCGCGGCCCTTTTTTTTTTTTCCTTTGCAGATTTTGGTGAGAAATCCTTTGCACAACTAGAACGATATGGCCTATATTCAAACACATCATATTTTCTCTCCTTTTTTTTCATTCTGCAAAGATAACTATTCTCTCTATTTGTGCAGGGCATAAGGGGGAGATGAGATGGGAAAGGGTAGTTGAGTTTATGCTCATTAAAATCAGTTGCATGCAGAGGCTCCGTGAATTCTGCCATGGATTTTTCCAGGCCAGATTCATGGGTTTACTGAGAATTAAACTGAAGCAGAGCTCACATAATCAGATTTGTCGATGCAGGAAACTTGGCAACAGCTCGAAACATGCTGGCCTAGCTTTCCATGGCTCGTGGTCAATGTCCCCTCCTGTGGCCTGACACTACTGGTGTGGTGTGCCATCCAGAGGAGACAGGAGGGGGTCTCCTGGCCAACATGGGCTGGCGCACCATGGCTGCTCAGCCACCCATGTGCCCTGGGCTGGAAGAGGTTATACCCCCCCCCCCCCCACTCCCCGACATGGAAAGAGCGTTTGGGGCACTGGGGCTGCTTTGCTGACATTTCAGGGGCATGTGGGGGAAATTTCAGCTACAAATAGTATTTGGAACATTGTATTAGAAGTCAGAATGACTTTTTTCATAAATTGTACCCAGACCACGTGGGATATTTCCAATTAAAAGGAGACTTTTCATTTCAGTCTAATGACTGGTTTAACATATATAATTCCCCATTGGTACTTTCTTTGCATATTAAAGTGACTGTTTTTTCAAATCCGTCCTTTAAATACACAATTGGCTACATGTAGGCTATAAATATCTTTTCTGTGCTGTATTAATTAGAAAGTCGAGCCTCTTATACATTTTAATGTGCCCTGTCATCCATACTGATTCTAGCATTTTCAAGAGAACATTTCTGTGTTTGCTTTCAGACTTAAGTGGATGGAAATGATCTTTATTGAACACGTTGGGAGAAGGGAAAAAAAATAACAAAGTTATGTATTTGGAAATGTCCGGTAAAGTAATCACTCTGCTGCTTTCCCGGAGGGCCAGGCAGGACCTCAAGAGATGATTGGACCTCTGGGGCCACAGTTTTCCAAGCTGAGGTTCTTGGGGATGCTGTGGGGAAGAGGTTGGGGTAGAGGAGGATGGAGAAGGAGAAAGATTTTTTTTTAAAGGGAAAGGGAAGAATGGGGTTGCTAAGAGGCACTTTCATAACCTGACTTGACAGCGTGGTTTGGACTCTTTGTCAATCACCTTTCCACGTGCGGCTCACTTGCATTATCTCCTGCTGCCCGGGGACCAGCTAAGAAGCTTGGCTCGCCCCCCCCCCCCCCCCCCCCGTCTCCTGCCCCCGCCCCCGCCCCTGCCCCTCTGCCCTGGACACAGCGGACCTGGCCTGAGAGGGTCCCAGGCACCTCACCGGTCGTAGTCCATGACCGCGATGGACAGGTGGATTTGGTCAATGCTCTCGGGAGGGACGTCAAAGACCATGGCTTCGTTGTAAACAGGGTTCAGGGTGTTCCTCTTGGTGGACGTTTTCCTCTTCTTCAGCCGCCTGCCCTCACACATCATGGAGACTTTCACGTAGGGGTCTGTGGGGGCCGCGAGAAGCAGGGGTCTGTGAGGACAGACGCAGAGGTAGGCCAGCGGCCCCCGCGCTGTGGAGTTTCACGGCCTGCGTGTGCTTTGCTTGCCTGTGGACTGGAGCTTGAGGAGTTTCATTAATACCATTGCGTAGGCAGTGACTAGAGTGAGCATAATTAAGTCACTCATTCACAAAACAAAAACCAAAAGCACAGGATATGGTCTCCTCAAAATGCATAGAATTTAAAAATAGTGTGAAAAAACTTGTTAGCGAATGAGAAACATTTCCAGGAAGAATTCAGACCTGCCTGGCTGTGATGTGAAGAGAAATGCAAAGGCACCTTCAAGGCGTGGCGAAAGGGTTGAGGGCCGGACTCAGCCACTCCGGATAATGTTTGCCTAAACATCAGGTCTTCGGGAAAGGGAGGGGCTGGATTCCTAGAGGACAGGAGGCGTTTAGGGGCTTGATTTCCTAAGTGCAGGGGCCTTGAGCCCCCAGAACTGCCTGCAGTTGGGTTGCAAAGGGTAAAGCAGCTCAGCACAGCAGGGAGGAAGGACACAGGCTGGCTTGGGGTCCACACTGGGAGGGGGTGACAGGTGACAAGGCTGGTCTCTGCTGCAGGGGGAACTTGCCTGGTTCCACCTCTCTGCCCTCCTGCATGACAGTGTACCGCCCTGACTCTCATACACTGTCCAGGAGGGACTGTGAGAGCCAGGAGGGGCCCCATCTTTTTTCTGAAACCTAGGTAGTTTGGCCCTAGAGCCCATGTGTTTATTACGGAACCAGAATCTTTGTAAGATCCTACGCGAGAACCGTACAAAAAAGCTCCCGTCAGGCAATGTCCCACCTGATGCTCCTGTTATGTCCATGGCCTTTAAATTCCTGGCTTTTATAACAGTGATGGTCAGCCTGCCAGCGGTGGGAAGGTAGCAGAGGGAAAACATCAGCTCGCCAAGATCCACGTTGTCCTGTGGAGAAAGCGCACGTGGACGTGTTAGGAAACACCTCCAGGCCGGTGTGCAGAGGGTCAGCTGCAAGGTGGCACCAGGAGGGTCAGCCCCGCTCCCCCGACTCATCTCGGGATCCCTGGTGCCTCTTAGTGTCACCCCAGTCACATGGAGAAGCCTGCACTCCGGAGCCCCTTGCGCTGAGGAAGCCTAGCCCACCTTTATTTATTTATTTATTTATTTATTTATTTATTTATTATTTTTTAAATTTCTTTTCTTTTTTAAAATATTTTATTGATTTTTTACAGAGAGGAAGGGAGATAGATAGAGAGCTAGAAACATTGATCAGAGAGAAACACCCATCAGCTGCCTCCTGCACCCCCCCCACCTGGGATGTGCCCGCAACCAAGGTACATGCCCTTGACTGGAATCGAACCTGGGATCCTTCAGTTCACAGACCGACGCTCTATCCACTAAGCCAAACCGGTTTCGGCTCGGCCCCCCTTTAGATGGCAAAGCTGGGAGGCCACCCAGGGCCTCTCTCACCCTCTTGCAGCCCTACATGGTCTCATACTGGTGACCCTGAAAGTAGTTCCCAGAGAAGAAGCCCCCAGAGCCTGAACTGTTCCCCACGGAGCCCCCTGTGTGGGTCCATTCGCATCCCCATCACAATCCATGCAGAGCCACAAACGACGCCACACAAAGAGGGGCTGCCTTACTGCGCAGCCACCATCACAGTCCTCAAACCCAGCCTCACGCGGCCCCACGCAGCCTCACTGCCCCTCAGAGGCTCTCCTACCTCATTTCCTCCCCCAAGTTCTTCCATAGGCCCACCGTGTGTATGCACCCTTGCCACATGCACGCCCCTTCATGGCCCCTGCCCCAAACAGTTTGCCACAATGCCCCCATCATCTCCTGCAAACACCCCATGGCCAGAAACAAACACACACACATACATGCACCTCCACCCACCGGAGCACTGCACACAACCTGGTCTCACACAACCTGTGCAGAGCAGCACACGGCTCCCCTGGACCTTGGAAACATCTAGTCCCCACATGGCTCTGGACAAGGACCCTGAAAAAGCTTGAGGAGCACCCAGCAACCACACACATCACAGCCCTGGACACACCCAGCTTCAGACAGGGCCCCAAGTGGTCTCCGTGCAGGAAGAGACGGCTGGGCCCCGGGCCACAGAGGCCCTACCGCCGCCTGGCGTCTCCCACTGCGCAGCGGTGCTGGCCCCTCTCCTGGTGTGTCTCTCAGGAGCCCCCTTTCCCCTCCGTTGAAGAAGACATCTCCTTGGCAGTACACAGCCATTCAGATAAGTCAGAAGACATGCTTCTCTTTCCCTGTCTGAGCCCAGGGAGAGCGTAACCAGCAAGGAAAATAACGAAGCCAGTTCATTTAGTTTCAATTTGTGATACCTGAGGTTACTGAGTGGGTGCGTGTGTCTGATTAATACAGTCTCATTCTGACAGTGCACTGGGAAGTCCAGCTCTTGCTCAACGCTCACAGCCTCCCCTCCCTCCCCCTCTCCATTCTCCAAGGATGCTGCTATTTTTAGAAGCATAGATTCAGCTCTGAAAGGTCACTGTGGCCCGCCCAGCTTCCCTGCCTGGCCGCTTCTGCTGGAGGAAGAGGTGGAGGGGATCTGTTTGGTGGCTAAGGCAGATGGATTGCTTCGTATCTCCCCGCATCGCCTGCCTCGAGTAAATAAATGACCTCACCTTGCAGGCCTGGAGCTCCTGGTTCCTGGAACCCTGACCTCAAGAGAACCAGTTGGTTGGGCCTTGCCCTCTGGCCTGGAGGTGAGGGGGAGAGATGAGGATTACACAGGATGGGGGGGAGAGGGGGGCGGGACACGGGGTCAAGGGGCAGGTGTGGGTAATCTGCAGGAGGAGCATCTGACCGCAGATGGAGGATCTGACCCAGCGTCCCACTGCGGCACAGGGGAAAGAGAAGCAACAGCTGTCTCCACAAATGATCTTTCTCCTTCCTCGCTCCCTGGCCTACTCCTTTGCCCTCTGTCTGCCTCAAGTAGAAAGACCCAGTCACCTGTTCTCCCTCAAAGGGCTTCTCGGCACCCAGCTCACCCCTTCTCTCCTCTCACCTGCCCAGAATATCTTGGTTGGACAGAGCAAAACAGGAGTGACCAAAATCACCCCATGAAGCTGTATCTTTTCAGCATACAATTCCCAAGGGCCCACCCACACATACCCGCTCTGTAGGGTTCGAGACGTGACACTCTCCAGGCCAGTGCACAAAATTGAATGTGACGTGTCAGGCTACTTTTGCACCAAGTACATTTTCCCCCCAACATAAACCCCATTCACAAATATTTCTATTACATGACTTGTCTGCTTATGAGTTAAAAGGAGAAAAAAAAATCATAGCTTCAGACTTGATGTTAGTTCAGAATGTGAACAAGGGCTAGTGCCCACGTATGTATAATACTTAACAAGCAAACAAACAAAACAACCCTGCAAATGAAAGAAATCGTTATCAAAGAGGCAATGTTTGCTTTGATTTCCAAACGCTTTAAAAGAAATCATTTAAAATGTCTATGTTGTGAGAGTAAAAAACGATAAAGTTCAAATATAGAAGTTTTAAAGTAAAATAGTAAAACATCCCATTTTCTTATGCATATACGACCTATGTCACTCCTTTCCCCAGAGTAACACTGTGAATAATCATCCATATTTTTCTTTCTTTCCTTCTTTTTCAAGAGGGAGTAGAAGGCAGGAAGAGAAGGGGAGAGAGAGACACACACATCGATTGGCTACCTCCTGCATAAACGCTAACTGAGGCTGGGGATCAAAGCTGCAATCGAGGTCCGTGCCATTGGCTGGGAATCAAACCCTTGATCCTTTGGTCTGTGGGCTGACACTCTAACCCACTGGTCAGCAAACTGTGGCTCGCCGCTCTGTTGACTAATGAGTTTGCTGACCACTGTCATACACTACCTTTTACCTCTTTGCACACAATATGCTACAATTGCCTAATCCTCACAGCTTCTAACTACACGGTAACATTTAGTCTCGTCCAGTGGTTGGCAAACTCATTAGTCAACAATAGAGTGGCAAACTGGGGCTACCGAGCCGCACATGGCTCCTGAGCCGCAGTTTGCTGACCACTGCTCTAACCAGCCAGGGCTGCTCACTTATTCTTTGAACATTTGCGGCAGTTGTGGCTGTCCAGCGCTGCTTTTTTGCCAGGTGCTGCGATTGTATTTGCAGCGTTGAAAACAGACATGGTCCCTTCATGAGAGAGGGGTTTGCTGGGATATGGAGCAGGAGCTGATGGAACCCAATGCTAACTCTGCTTTCTCCCCATCAGCTAATGCTAATTTGAGCTCAGAACCTGTAGTTTTTTCTTTATGAGTTGTAGAATTGTGCACCAGAAACCTTTGTAATTTTGTTAACCAGTATCACCCCAATACATTCAATAAAAAGAAAAAAAAAAGAACCTATAGATCCTGATATTTGTAAACATTCCCTTAAACTAGTGCTTCTCAGCCAGGAGACATTTTCTATTATACTACCTGGAGAACATTTTAATTGCCAAAACTGGGGAGGTGGGTGTCTTACTGACACCTAGTGGGTAGAGTTCAGGGATGCTGCTAAACATTCTATACTGTACAGGGCAGCCCTTTGCTATAGGGAACACTCTGGTCCCAAGGCTGAGAACCTACATTCTGCAGAAGTGCTTATATTGTTAGTAAAAAAAAAAAATTTCAGAATTCTGTAAAAGTCATACATGAAAAGGTGGTGGGATATTTGGCTTCTTTTCAGCTTGACAGGAACCAAATAGCAGAAGTGTCGCTGGTAGCTGAGTGCCCCGGGAAGTACAAGGGGAAGGAAAATGTCAGACAGAGAAATGCTTCTTATGCTCTTGCTTTGTGTGGCCAAGGTCAATGTTGTTGGCAAGATATACTGGGAATTCACGTGTGCGTGAATTCTCTACCTGCCAATCTGCAAACTCTTTCTGTGATATGTTTGCCTGTGTTGGCCTGTGACTGCTCTAGTGTTTGTCTAACTAGGATACTCTTGCATTCCTCTTGCCGGATTCTTCTGGTGAGCTCCTTCTCAATTCGGTGAAGTTGTAGGAGGGCTACTGCAGGAATTCAAAAGGGTAGCAAAATGTTCATGTCACTGTCCACTGTTGTCTGTTCAGGTATGAGTTATGTAACCCAAGCAAGGCCACTTAGAGTCCTCTCTGAGACTGGAAAGTCATATTGAAAAATTCTCATTCTATTGGGGCTACTCCCTGGGAAGATAGGAAACTAGAACTATTGTAAGGTTCTTGTACTATATATAGTACAAGTAGCATACATAATATAACTTTAAGTTAGGTTCAAGGATCATACTTGCAAACCACATAGCTAATAAAGGACTTCCATCCGGACTATATAAAGAACTCCTACAACTCAGAGACACAACCTGACAAAAATATGGGCAAAAGATTGGAACAGACACTTCATGCAAATTACACTAAACCTCAGCGAGAAACTACTACACACCCACTAGAATAGTTAACATGAAAAACTTGTTATCCAAGATGCCAAGCGACTGATCCTCTGATATGCTGCTGCTGCTGGAAAGGCAACATGTCAACTATTTGGAAAAATAATTCGGCAATTTTCCTTAAAGTAACACATATTCTTGCCAAATGACCCAGAAATCCCATACCAAGTTATTCACCCAAGTGAAATAAAATCACACATCCATATAAATACTAGTATGCAATTTTTTCTGAGCCCAAAGTAAAAAGAAACCCAAATATAGCATTAAATGGTGAATGGATGAACAAAATGTGGCATGTCCCTACAATAGAATACTACTCAGCAACCAAATGAAACAAACTACCAATATAAGAAACATGAAAAATCTCAAAAGAATTGTGCTCAGTGGAAGAAGTCACACACAAAAGACAACATATTGTACGAAATTCTAGGAAAAGCAAAATTTCAGTGCCAGAAAGTGATCAGTGGGTGCTAGAAAGCAGGACTGGGCATAGGA